ATGTTTTTCCTCCATCCACACCAGTGCTTTAGTATTCTCAGTGTTACTATTCATTATTTGTAAAATCGTGAGCACCTGTTAGGAGCACAGCATGCGCCATGGGGGATAACATGGGAATTCCAGTTCACTGCCTTGAGCAGGAAATTTCTGATGGGGAGACAAGAGTAACGTGTATTAGAAATTTACCCATTACAAGAGTTCAATGACACGACACCTAGAAATGAAAGTTAGAATATGACTTGAATATTAACCAGGGGGTATTGTGACCTTCATATAAGTAAGCACCCAGTTAAAATTAAGGCAGGTAATAGATATAGAGAGCTCGCGGGGGAAAAAGCTGCATAAATTCAGAAAAGATTCAGAGAAGATCCCTAAGGCCCTCAGCCCCTGGTAAATCAGATGGTTAGTCGTTTTTGGTATCATTTGGACAAGTGACTGGTATCAGGAAGTCCTACCCAGAGCGGCAGATTAGCATGTGCACAGACCAGCATGTGGCAAGAAGGAGGCCAGGGCAAGACGTTTCAGAGCTCTGTGGGTGAGGCAGCCGGCCTGGAGTACGTGAGAGCACTTCAAAAAGTTTGTGGCCAATTGGAATGGCCAGATACATTTTTCCATGAACTTTTGGAAATCCCCTCATGTTGTTTGAGACGGTTTGGGTGCGGTGAAAGTAAGTAACAAGCAGCATTGACAAAGAAAGTTGGTTTGTGTAACAGCTTGGTTCAGACAATGATTTTGGAGGGAAAAAAAGTATTTTGAAAAACGTGTTTAGGGTTGTTAAGTAATAAGTCGTGATACCGTTCATGAATACTGGATCTTATAAACATCACGACCTGTAAGCCTCAGAAGTGTCCTGTGATCCCAAACCTACGACCACTGAGGTGGTCCCTACTCCTCGGAATCCTCCAGGATGCCCATCGGACAGAGTCGAACTGGCCCTTTGGGTTTCCTGCGGCACACGAGAACATTTATCACGATCCCTTCGGAGTCTCCAAACACTGTGGCCTTCACCTCTGAGCAGACCTCTCTGCCGATCCCCTAGCAGCCTGGTGACACAATGGCTTCCACTCTGGGCTGCGAGCCCTAGGTTCACCACCCGCTCTGTGAAGGAGATCTGCTAGCTGCTCCATGAAAGAAAGGCTAGGCTTGTTCTCAACGCTCCTGCGAAGACGGAAAGCTTCAGAGCCCCTTTAGCTGGTCCCTATCAGTTGGAATCGGCTGGTGACAATGAGTTTTCGTTTGAGGGGATCCCCTCCGAGGTCACTGCTTTGATGGGATCATTCTTTAAAGTCACTTCCTCAAGGCGAAGACAGGTGTATTGCTATGAGAATATGTGTGCAGGCATCGACTGATCACAGAAACATGTAAGCACATTTTGTTTAGAACAAACTCCGACATCATGCATGAGCTGGGATCCTCGTGGCAATACTCTTTTTGAGTTGTGTGCGTTTTAAGTGAGATTTCCTAAGTCTTCCTTTTAAGACAATGCTGAGCTTAGTGGCATAGTAGGTTATGCACTGGGGTTAAACCACAAATACGAAGTTCAAAACTAACAGCTTCTCTGTGGGCTAAAGATGTGGCTTTCTACTCCCATGAAGATTTCCAGCCTCGGGAGGCCATAGAAGCAGTTCTCCTGTGTCCCACAGGGTGGCTGGCTATGAATCAGAATTGATTTGATGGTATTGAATGAGTTGTTATAGCCTGAGGCATTTGGGCTGTTGCATCCTTTTGGTATTATAAAGTGTATCCCATCGAGGTCATTTGCGGAAGTGATTTAGAAATAACACAAAGTGAAGCAGGACTGCAAAGAATCTTGAGAAATTATGAACTACAGACAGCAATGTTAGAGATGGGGAACAATTATAAAATCATTTTCTGTATGTGTGTCCTCAAATGATCAATATTATGAACATCAGTAGCTGAGGGATAATTGCTTTGGAGCCGACCAGGTGGTTGAACAGCCAGTTTTTAGCTAAGGTATTTTCAACCAAGTCCCCTGGAGCCAGTGGCAGCAGGGAATTATGTCAGCACTAAGCGGGACGTCACACCCCAGGCAGATGCGCAGGGAGGCTTCTAATCCCTAAGCAGTGAAGGCCAGGCAGTGGGATTCTCTTATGGAGGGCTTGTGTCCCGCGGAATACGTCAATCAGGGACTCTGACCTGAAATGATACAGGTAAGAAGGAGAGCTAAATCTCAGGATGAGAATATCAAAACAGTTATCAAAACTGGGGCATAGGGTCATAGCCGGGCTAATGACCACAGGGACTGGACGCTGAATCCCAGAATGTTGGGCCAATGCTTCTTAAGTCTTTTCTGCCCAAGGTTAGACCTGGGCTGATCCGACAGGTGGGAATCAATGCAGGGTGCTCTGGAGATGAGCAATCTGGCCACTTCTGAAAACTGCAGTCTTGAAGCAAGAAATTGCCATATGATTGAAGAGCGTGAGGGGTAGGCATGGAAGCCAGTTAAGAGGATACTTCTTATAATGCGTGCAAGGGCACAGGAACAAGAAAGAAACACATAGTCTGGAGGTATATCTAGGGAGATAGCTAGACATCATCATTAAATCAATAGGTTGGACTAAGACCTATTATTATGTACCTTCCTGTTGCATTGCATTTATTTTGATTTAAGTAGAGAACATGTGATTGGTTGTTGGATTTGGTAATGTTGCCATTACTTTTCCTGAATTACAGTTTATACCGATAGAATAAAATGATCCTCTTTTATTACAAAGTCCCTAAAGAGATGTCTTATGTTTTATGATTTCATTTTAAGTTCATGTTGTCCTGGTTTAAAATGAAAGACAAACAAAACAAAAACAAGGTTTTTTATTGTTGTGAAGCCAAAGAAGATTAATGGTTAATATGTTGTTAAGATGGTTCGATTAATGTTCTTAGACATTGATCAGATGAACACTAAGATTTATTATTATGTTTTGAGGTCTTCACTGTGTGAGCCCCTTGCTGCCCTGAGTAAACCTCCTAGTAAGTAGTTTTCACACTCCAGGAAGTGAGCCATCTCTGGGTTTATTCTAAAAATTATTTCTCTTTTTCCCAGTGTTTATATATTTTTTAGTGTTCCTTAGTTTTTGTTTCACTAAGCTAATTCTTGGTGCACAGAAGTCAATTCTGCATTGTTAATTAGAAATATAGAACTCTTATGTTGTTGAAGGTATGAAATTCAAAAGCTCCCAAGAATGCTCTAAATATCCCAGGAATGCTTCTTAATTAACTGCAGCTAATAGTGATATTTGCTTCATTGCCTGGAACTTTTGACCCCAGCCTCCCACGATATTTGATGGGTATGGTCATCACTTACATTTGTTGGGTGCTATTTTCTAATCTATATTGTTTGTAAAATTACAAGGCTTGTTAACAATTGTAGATGATTGAATCTAGATCACCTGGGCAACTGTTCGATGTGTCTCTTTTCAGTTTGGTGTAGACATTGTGCTGGTAGAGAGTTTCCATCATCTTTTAATTCCATTTTTCCATGCAGGGCTTAAAGCCTCCTTGTATATATACCTGCAGAGTTGTGACAAGATGCATGCCATTTCTTGATCCCTTCCCCTCAGTTTCTGCTTCTTAAACCCAGTGCTCTGGAGGGCCAAAGGGAAGGCAACTCTGCTATGCCTTCAGTGTTTGCCTCAACTTCATTCCTGGGGGGACTTACTTTCGTTGCCCTTTCCATGCCTACTGGGAAGGTTCAGTAAACTCCGCTTTGCTTCTTTTTCTTCAGTAGCCAAATAAGGAAACAGAGCACTTCCGGTGCTTTCTCTTGGGGCAGCATCTAAGCCTCCCCAATTTTGGCTTCTCTGGTGTTTGGTACAAGGCCCGGGAGGGATTTTTTTTTGTTGGACCAGTTGAATCCCAGTGGGTGGTTTTCTCTGGGGTTTCCTTGGGAGGAAGGGTTTTCTGTGCCTCTCCTGTGTCTCTTAGTGCTTTCACTGCTCTTCCTTTCGAATGCTTCAACCTGTCTGATTTCTTTAAAATTCTAGAATTTTAAAATTTTAAATCTTTAGAATTTTCTTTAAAAATGTGTATGTTGATCGTGGGTCTTGTTCTTTTCCCTCTTTGCTGTGTGGGACTGGGGGAGTCTGAAGAGATGAGGTTTGCATGCTAGTTCAATTACTGTCTGGGACCTGCCAGGTGTCTCGTCTTGTTCTCTGTTTCTAGCCCAGCGTTTCAGAAATTGTTTCTGGGTTTGCTTTCAGTTCTTTTAATTTGCACTTCAGCTTGAACTCCCCTTCCCCACCCCCACCCCTCTTCAAAAGTAGGCTTAATGGTAATCACAATGAAATTGCTATCTCACTGCTCTAAAAGACTGTATTATTTAATAAACTTCATTCTACTGGATTTATGGGCAGTTACAAGGTATTGCCCTGATGGCACTTTTGGGTAAGCATTGGGCCTCCAATCAAGTCGGAATTGACTTGAAAGCAGTCGGATTTGGTTTTATAAAGGTGTTCATTTGACATATGCATACATATATATTCATCAGCACATACACGCGCGATGACATGCACTTGCGTGTGTGGGTATGTGTGTAGAATTCAGGTAGAATAGTTTTTATGCACTAGGTGGCTAACCACAAGGTCAGAAGTTCAATCCCACCAGCTGCTCCTTAGGGGAAAAAAATGAAACTTTTTGTTATTGTAAAGATTTACAGACTCAGAAACCCAAAGGGGCAGTTCAACGATGTCCTATAGAATCGCTATGAGTTGGGATTGGTTGCTGTGAGTTTTGTTTTATATATACTATATAAAAATATGTATATCTCACGATATTTTTATAATTTGTAATTACATTGTGTTTGCCTGAGTGTTGCTGGTTGCCTTTCTCAGTATCACCATCCATTGCAGACGCAAAACACCCAAAATGGTCATAGAAACTCTTCATGGGTACAGGGCTAGTCAATGAATGGATCTTTAAAGAAGTTACTAATTATTACCAGAAATAAAGTAATGGTCCAGCATTCTCCTCCCCCCATTTCCCCTCAGGAAGGAGAAAACATTTTTTACCTGGCAATTGAAGACATAGAAACGGATACAGAGCTTCTGATTGGCTACCTGGACAGTGACATGGAGGCGGATGAGGAAGAACAACAAGTTATGACAGTGGCCACAGAGGGGGAGGTTAAACATTGCAAAGCACAACCAGCAGCCGGCAAGAAAGGTATTCTGGTCTTCATATGTGTTCTCTGAGAAGGAAAGTTATAGGCCCAATTTTATTTTAATTGTGGTTGAATTCTACTTGCATCGAGAGGGCATTCTCAAGTAAAAGTTAATTTTTGTTTAAACCAGTCTTGAAGTCCAGTGGTACAGTCTTTTTGTGTGTGTGACAACAGGGACAGAGTGCTGCCGTGGATGACAGTGTGACGGAGGGGCTGGCACAGTAAGGGTCAGGATTGTGTTGCTGGGGCAGCGCCTGGCGCCCCCTCCTCTCGGTGGCTTGGTGGGGCCTGAGTCATGAGGATTACAGTTTTCTAGCCTAGGCTCTGCCACTCATTAGTGTTGTCTCATGGGGCAACACTCTACTTTCTCATCTTCCAGTAGAGAAAGGTGAATGTAGAGAGCACGAGAGGCAAGGAAGAGGGCCCTGCTGAGTACAAGGGAGGTGATTCTGGGCTTTGCTTTTGTTTGAGATCGTTGGAGAATCTGATGCTTATGGGAATCTGAGCCTCCTTATTCTTTAATCCAAGAGGTCTGGAGGATGGAGAGATTGCTTAATGTGGTAAACAAAAGCTTGCCGTAAGTCTGGTGGGTCAGAGTGGGTTAATTCAGCCCCATGATCCAGGGTGATGTTATACAGTGCCTTCAGGTTGGTTCCAACTCAGAGTGACCTTAAATACAACAGAAGGAAGCACTGCCCAGTCCTGTGACCCCCTCTGTTGGAGCCCATGATTGTAGCCACTGGCTCAGCCTTCTCTTGAGGACCTTCTTGTGTTCTGACCTTCCACTTGGCCAAGCATGAAGTCCTTTTCTAAGGACCCGTCACTCCCGATAGCATTTTTATGAGACCTTCAAGTCTTGCAATCCTCACTTGTAAGGAGCCTTGTGACTGTTCTTCTCCAAAAACAAATTGCCCCAAAAGATAGCTTTTCCTTTATGGATCTCACTTCCTCGTCACTGGGAGGGGAAGGATCAGTTATGATTGGACTTCGTTTCTCTCATGTTGTGCTTTACTCCCGATACGGCTGACAGAAATAGGAATGATGTTGCAGGTATTTATATTTTGTCACAGGCGGTGTAATGTTTCCATTTTGTTAGCAGTCACTTCAGAGCATCGTGGACTTCATTAGTAGCAGCAGTAGTCTTGCCTTTCATAGACTTTCAGTGAGTAGTCTACCTGTATGTCATTGGCTGAGTGTGAGCATTCTCACCTGTACAACTGTTTACTTCAGTGTTGTTATTTAAGGTGAAGGTGGGGTCAGCTCCGGGGACTGTTTTGTCAAATGCATTATGCTGTTTAGAACGTCAAATTAGGGGGGTTGGGAATGGTTTCTGTATTATTTTTGTTTTCCTTGCTTTTCTCTGTCACCTCTAAGGCTTGTTAGGATTATTACATCTATTATTTTAACTTATCTGATATTGTTTTTGTTGTCAAAATGTCAGATTCCTTTTTTTTTTCTTAAAAGAATCAATAGAAACTTTGACATTTTCTAAATTTTCAAATCAGCTATGTACATTATGCTATTTTTAATCTTAGAGTTCTCAGTGCATGCATTATTTATACAAACAGAATAAAAAGATCAAACCAAAACAACAACAAAAAAATGAAAGAAGGAAAC